TTATCCTGAACCAGATCGATCCAGTCTGTACCACCCCATCTCAGCTCTCTAAGATCAATATTAATATTATCCACCTGCCTATAGCTTAGTCCTCCTAGTGGTCTCTTTCCTTCTGGCTTTTCCACCAATATCCTATATGCATTCCTCATCTCTCTCATTCATGCCACATGCCCTGCCTATCGCATCCTCCCTCACTTGATTATTCTAATTATACTTCGTGAAGAGTACAAGTTATGAAGCTCCTCATTATACAGTTTTCTTCAACCTCCTGTCACTTCATCTGTCTTCAGTTGAAATATTCTTTGCAGCACCCTGTTCTCAAACATCATCAGTTTATGTTCTTCCCTTAATATCAGAGACCAAGTTTCACAACCATACAGAATCACAGGCAAAATTATAGTTTTGTGTGTTCTAATTTTTCTGTTTATAGACAGCAGAAGGGAAGATGAATGGTTATGGGCTGAATGGTAGCAAGCATTACTTGAGATCAATCTGCTTTGAATTTCCTCTTGAATCAAATTCTGGATTGTTACCATTGTTCCCAAATGTTTGAACTGTGCCACATTTTCAAAACTTCTGTTAGCTATCTTTATGTGCACCAAATATAGCCATGATGATGAAACCATAAGGGGTGAAGCATATACATGCATGAGAGAGTTGAGAAATTTTTACAGATTTGTTTTTTTCAGAAAACTTGAAAGGAAGATTCTAATTGGAAGACCTAGTTATACAAGAAAAATTGTATTAAAATTGATCTTAAAATTGGGTGGTTTGAAATAGATTGGATTCACTTGGCTCTTGATAGAGACCAGTGGTATGTTCTTATAAACACAGTATTGGATTTTTTTTTGTTCATAAAAGGAAAGGAATCTCTTGATTAGCTGAACTAATATTGGTGTAGACTTACCAGAGAGAAGTAATTCAGTAACAGGAATCTCCATGCATTTTGATTGGTTTAAAATATAATAAACATGTTTTGGTTCAGTGTTTGAAATATTATTTAATACCTGTCATAAAATTTTCTTTATATATATTTACTGTTAAAATTAAGAGACTGTTATATTTTTTATTTTCATTAGGTGTCACAGAGAATGATGAACATGGAACTCTAATAACGCCAGTATTTTTTAATTGTACTGTGTGAAAATTAGACAACCGCAATTTCTTTCTCAGGATCTGTTTAAGAATAGAAGTACACTATATGTATAATAATATAATAATAGTAATAATATATAATAGCCCTTTTTTATAGTTGTTCTTTTAACTTTTGGTATAGATGTTCCTTGCAAACATATATTTGGAGCAGCCTATGATTATATTACAAATTCAAAATTTTCTTTCTTTTTTATACAGCTGGTTGGTAAATATAATCCTTTCATTTTATTTTTGTTTTTCTTTCCAAGACATGATGTGGAAGGCAAAATTCTATCTCATGTATTTCTAGCATACTACAGCTAACATGTGAAATATTATTATTTACATATTTTGAAATGAGTGTGTGTTGGAGAGATTATTTCCCTGCTAGGTTGCGACATTGTGTAGTCTTGTAGACAGATGCTGGCATTTTGGAAGAATTTGCTGCCTCCATACTAAGTGTTGAAATGTACCACTTTACCACATTTCAGTCCTTAAGACTAAGGCAGCATATTCCTCTGAAATGTCAGTGTTTGCTCTTAAGATTACATGTGTCACAACCTAGAAATCTACCATCTGAAAACTTATCACTGTGAAGACCTCAGAACTTACATTGTTACCATTTTCATTTTCCTCTCTAATTTACCATTTAGAATACATTGATTCTATGATTACATTCACCAAATTAGTCTGGTACTCAAATTCATGGCACATGTTCCACATCTCTTTGTTTTTCTGGACACAAATCCATGTCATTCTATTTGTGTACAGAATTTCAAACTTTAGTTCTTACTTCAGGTTCCTGAAGCAGGCAGATGGACAGATGGATAGTTCTGAATTATTGAATATTGATTTTTGTGTTGTATTAATTTTTTGTCCTCTTCCATCTTGTTTTTGCTATTTGATGTACTGATGTTAGTATAGATTAATTGTTTCTTGCTGTTCTCTATTATCACTGTGGTATCTGTTTGAAAAGCAGCCACAATAAACTGCTATTCATATAGTAATGAATACAAAAATGATGTCACTACCTTACATGAATATTCAATAATTATGTGTTGCATGAAGGTTTTGGGAATTGTTAAAAGAAATATGCTGGATTAAATTTAATCATAATATGAGAGAGATTAATTTCTCTAATTCGTGGATTTCCCATGAAAACATGGTGTCCATATATTTGATAATATCTTAAATGTGATAGAATGAAACTTCAGGAAGTTTTATTTCATTGATCATTGCTTTTTATTCTACAGTTAATGTTTATATATATATATATATAGATAGATAGATAGATAGATAGATAGATAGTTGATATATCTAGCACATGGGATAAAACATGTAATATGTGGAGGAGCCTGAACTGAATTATGTCAGATATATACAAAAGTGATCCTGTAATCACAAGAATAATTGTCAAATGATTTAGATATTTATATCTGTTGGATGAATGGATATTTTTTACTGTTCCAAAAATATACTGTGGGATTTTCCTTGACACAGGGTTTGAAAACCACTACCATAGATTACACTTTGTTATTTGTTATCATGTTGTGCAGCCTCTGTCATGAACATATTTCACTATTTCAGAAGGTGACCGTATGTATGTAGTGTCCATTTTGGAGAGCAGTGCATGTGGCTGATGTGTATTATGTTTGTCAGAACTAACCAATATTTTATTTAACAGTGTTGTTGTAAGAGTTGCGCAGTGTGTTTGTGTGTGTGTCCAGCATACCCTGCTCTGTTGATGGCTGTTCAAATTAACGTTATCATTACAATTTAATATTATAGTCAGAATTGTGCAGGTGAGGCTATCATTCCTTTTTGTCTCTTATCACAAAGCTCTGGCCTCAATCTCCCTTGCTTCCTTCTCTTGTTAATCCTTAGCCGAAACACAGCTTTGTTTGGTTCTTCTTGAAAATGTAAGTGGCTTGATGTCTAGATGTAAGAGCATGTATATGCAGGGCAAGGTACTTAACTACAGAATTATTATGATTGCACAACAAATTTAAATCCACAAGTTTTTGGTGTTTTGGTGTTGCTTTCTTTATGGTACCTTGTATTATTTTTCTTGTGTTGTTCAATGATAATGTTTAATGTTATATTTTATAACTTTACTGGGAATTATTTTGTATGAACACTGCAACAGCTTGGTATAGTTCTTCTACAGTGTTGTTTAATTTTGACGTTGAACATCAGTATAGGATGGGACATCATGGGCTGTGCTGTTGCATACATCATTCACTACCACAGCTCCCCATGCTTTGCTGAATTTCTGTTCACGCTGTGATGAGGTTTGTGAGTGCCTTCTTTAGATCCATATCACTGAGCAAGATTATTTAAAATTCCACATCCCCTGACACAGTTTTGTTTTTATAAATAACAGCAACTGTGAGACAGATATGAAGAAATGCCTTATGACAAGTTGTTGTTTTCAGAATTTACAATTTTTCCAGGTAATTAAATTGTCATTCATATGTATCAGGCATGATGTACAAGTAGTATTACTTGAATTCTGATTGTAAACCTCGCCCTTAATTTATATTATTTTGCATATTTATATAATTTTGGCTTCTAAACATGGAACATTTCCTCCCTTCCACATTATATATTATACGAAAGAGACTTACCATTGTTTTATAATTCATAGAAATATTTGCTCATTATGAGCTACAATTTTAACTCTTGAAGTATCGTATCCAGGAAATAAGTGGCAGTATCACAATATCTCACACAGTAAATGGTTGTACCATATCAGGATTAAATTGGATAACAGGTTACTTCCCATACAGAGACACTTTCAATTTATGCGTTTTATGAAGCAGTGTTTTGATTTTTTGATATTACTCTGTAATATTATGTCTGAATCTTTTTCTTTGAGACAAAGATATTGAAGTAAGTATGTATGTTTAGTAACTGGTGGCAGAGGAGACTGCTTCAATGGCAGCTTAGATAGTTCATCTCAGACATCCTGAAAGCAAAAAAATATCTCCTTGTTTGACATCAAAAGGAATAAACTATCAAATAGGCTATTTTGTAGGTATTAAAGCAACTTAAGAGAAAGGAAGGTAATCCTGTTTGTGAATAAACGAAATACGAAGCCTATGTCTTGCAACCATCAGATTAAAATGTATGTACTATATATGAATATTATGAACAGTCAATACCTGACAGTTTAGAATTTGTATATGCTTTTTATTAAGGATTCATTATTAATATCTCTTGAACAGATATTCAGATTCTCATTAATTTGTTGCTTATGTTCATTTTAATTTTATAAATATGTAGTTTGAGTTATTTAATACTCGTGTTTAAAAACGAAGCTCATATGTTTATGAAAACAAATCGAATATCTGATAACTAATCATACATCAAAGTGGTTTGAAAAATTGACAGCGAGTAATATGGGGAAAAATGAGATCCAAAAGTCACTTTATGTATGATGTAGCATGTTATGAACCATTAAGAGAAGCGGTACACATAATCATTTTCTTAAGGAGTGTTCTCTCCCTTATATGCGATGACATTATGTCTTCTAGTGACCCCAGTCACTGTAGTTGTAGTCTGTACAAAAATCAGGTTGTACACAAAGTTGCAATTTCCCTGTAAACTGCCATTCCTCCAGGATGTAGAGAGGAAAGAAGGGCACTCTGTAATCTTCTGAGATGTTAGACTGTATATGCATGTAGCATATTGTTACTTAATTCAGTAATTATAGATGGGGTTTGGATTGGTAATTGGATTTGTTGAACACTTTAATGTACAACTCCTGACTACATTTTACAAATCACTATCATACAAAGAATAGTGTTCTTAGACACAGTCTTCACTGCCTCATTTGTACTGTCCCTGTTCTTGCTTACCCATAGCCAGAAGAAAGGTTCGCATTTGAGAAAGACGCAAATAATACCAGGACTGGGAGAATGCTGTCCCAAACACACGACACACGGGAACGATTAACAGCCCTCTACAATAAGACGCTGAAAAAGACAGAGATAAATGACTCCGTCATTCAGCCGGAACTACTTACACTCGTGAGAACGCTAGGCCATTTCCATAAGTACCTCTACGGGCAAGTATTCCACCTGTACACTGACCACTCCGCTCTAACCTGGTTCGAGTTCTAAGAAACTCGATGGTCATACCGCTCGCCAGATTCAGCTTCTACAAGAGTACAACTTCACTATCGAGCACCGTCAAAGGCGAAAACACAACATTGTCCATGTGCTTTCGCGGCTACCACACCAAAAACTTTGTACCCATTGCAACAAAGTCGAAGTGATAGCAGACATCCAGCTGTCAGCTGGTATCCAGCGGCTTTGATAGCAGAACGACTGAACGACCAGGATATAGGGCCCATCTTGAAGAAAGTAGAGACATGATAGCTCCCAGAGAGAAAGACATCGCCAACCGCAGCCCACGAACAAAAAACTACTGGGCCCAATGGAAATCCCTGCCTTGAGGAATGTCATACTAGAGAGCCATTGCTACTCCACCTACTGACGATCAGAAATAGCCAGACTTTATGCCGGAATGTTCGGTTGTCACTGAGGTGTCAACAGATCCCTGGATAGGGTTCCGTGAAGTTAATACTGTCTCCAGGCAAGAAACAATGTTGGGAAGTGGTGCCGGCATTGCGACATCTGTGAAGCCAGTCGCGGCCCCCGAATCAGAATTCGGAGCCCTTTCGAAATGATAGTCATAGATATAGCAGGGCCCTTCCCATGGACCGACCGAGGAAGTCCATACTTCCTGATCGTTATTTTATTTATTTTTACTTAATTTTCGTTATTTATTTTACCAAGTGGTCGCAAGTCTACGCCATTCCCAATCAAGGTGCTTCGACAATGGCGGAAATGCCGGTTACCAACTTCTACAGCCGCTTCGGAGCACCGCAGGAGCTACATTGTAACCAGAGACGTAACTTCGAGTCTCGTCTGATACAGAGGTTTGTAGCACCTGGGAGTGAGCAAGTCGCCCACAACAACCCTTCACTCATTTTGGACGGCATTATCGAGCGCTACATCAAAACGGTCGAGGAGCTTCTAAGACAAGTCTTCTCTTGCAGCAGAAGGATTGGCATGCAAGATTACCCTTCTGCCTTCTTGCATACAGGACATCCACTCACGACACTATGGCCTTGACCACTGATGGCCTAATGTTCGAAAGAGGCCTCCAACTGTCCTGCGACCTGCTCTTTTTATAATTCCTCAACAAGGAACGACTCACAACCGATGGCGCGGCATATGTAATGGACCATCTGCACACTCACAATTATGCCCACCAACACCTGAATCTGGCCAGTGACCGGATGAAAATTCATTTCGAAAGATTGCTCGACTGGGGGGGGGGGACACGAGGGCGAGAAACTGTCGCATTATCGCCCAAGCCGCACGAAGAGGAAGTCGCCTAAGGTTCAATTCTCATGGGAGGTCCCATACAAAGTAGTCACCTGGATAAATGATGTAATGTACAGGATTCAGTGGAACAGTAGATCGAGGATGATGATATTACACCCGGACCAGCTTGCACTTTCTCAGCGAACCGCTCGAGATGAGCGGGTTTCAGGAGGGAGCAGTTGCAAAGTTATAATCATGAGGTCAGAGTCACGGGGAAGGAAGGCGAAACCGATCACAGACGTAACAAGCACAACCCTAGGAAGAGAACAAATGGCACGCCTGTGATAGCAATGTGGCAAGTAGACTCGTTGCTAGGCAGCGGCCGCGAAATAAGCTCTACAACAACCGTTTCTCAGTAATGGATCTGTAAACAATAGCCGTTTCTGGGTAATGACGGCAACAGACGCCCACGCCGGCAGCATGGGAGTTAAAAGAGTGGAATGAGTTGGTTGGTGAGTGAGTGAGTGAGTTAGTTAGTCTAGTCTAGTTAGTTAGTCTAGTTAGTTAGTTAGGACTTCTGGGGCTCAGTCGTTGTGCTTTTAGAACCTTGTAGGTGAGACCGTTGATAGTTCGGGAACCCACAGGAAGAGGAATGTCTGACGTTGAAAGCCGATACCAAGCAATGACCAGTAGAGGCGGTAACAGACTCCGAACAATAGTCTGTCTGACAGTGATTTGTAAAGTGTGGTTACGAGTTGTGTGTAAAGTGTTCAATAAATCCGATTACCAATCCAAAAACTCGTCTGTAGTCACTCCGATGTTTAGTTACTTGCTAAATGTTCAACTTTCTTTATGGGGGCACCTCGCAAATTAGTTCTCTCACCTATAGGTAATGTTACGAGATTCTCAAACCAAATATGTTCTACACTACTAAATAATTGAATATGAATACTAGTAGCAAACCATTTTGTTTCTTATCATTACTTGGTGAGTATAACAGCATAATGGAGATGAGGAGACGTAAAGTAATTTGATTACATTGTCTAATATATATATGCTAAGGAGATTGTTATGGAAAAACAGATTTGTATTCTGCATATTTTGGAAGATATATACTCTCAGTTGTTTTCGAGCTATGATATGGTACAACCATGTAGGTTCCTTCCTCTAGGAGTGTTGTGGATGTGTGGTGCAACAGTGCAGCATAGCAGAGCAGCATCAGGTTAGTGGCATGATTATTGTCACTTTGGAACTGAACTGCTGGTTCCAGTGACCCTTATTCTTGAATGGATAGGCACTTAGAAGTCTTGATAGGAATATTAGAGGAAAGAGTTTTAATTTGGGTGGGAAATTTTGCGCTTTAGACGTTAGTAACGGTCGAATGAATGGATGATCATCTTGTAATTATCAAGTTGAATTCATCTCCATGTGCTGGACACACACCTGTACTTTTGACATTAATGATGATGGTTGTTTTATACCTTGTACTGATTGCTATGATATTTATTACATGCGTGCATGGATTAGACTCATCCCCACATCCACTTCTGCTGCCAGTTGCTTCTGCCTCACCGCAGGATGATGATGATTCGTTAGATACAGATGGATTCCAAGAGCAATTTCTATTAGAAACGCCTCCACCACAAGCTGATTATTCCCACAGTAGGACCAGGGAGGAGACAGTTGCGACCAAGACGACTGTATGTACCCATCAGAGAACGTCATCTGGTGTGACTGTTGAGCAGTTGGAAGGGAGGAAAGAGCTTGCCTCTGCTGAGGAGAGCGAATTGGATGATGATGAATTGACAGAGACAGTGTCCAGTCACAGTGAAGTCACCACAGATCTTGAAGATGCAAGTGACACACGCACTAGCGTTGATCTAAGTGACACTGAACTTAGAATGAGGCCTGATCGATTGACAATTTACAATACAGTTAGGTCTCCCGAAGAGGAGAAGGGAGCAAAGGATTCTAAACGAGCAGAGAATATAAAGTTTCAAAGGGAATATACGGACAGAAGAATATCTTTTCATCCTGTTGAGAGATTATCTGGAGGCGTAGGTACAGGAAAGGAATTACCTAGAAAAGAGAGACGAGAGAATGTTGAGGCGACTTGTGAAGGTGATGTGGAATCACGGGAAAAGGACTTCAAGAAGCAGGCAAGTTTCAAAACTGATGAAACTGATGGCATGTCGCGTGGTGTTGGGGAAGACGGCAAGCACATAGATCGCGGCACAAGTCCCCTGGAAGGAAAAGCTCTTTCTAGTCCTAACCCGAATTCATCTCCTCCGGAACCGTCCCCTATTTCCGCTGCCGGTAAACGGACAAAGCAGCCACCACCTACGTTGGAGCTTGTTATAGGGCGAAAAGAGGTTCACACAAAGGAGGCTAGCGCAACAGCTGAAAGCCGTCTAACGCTGTATGGAGCGAGGGATATAGAAATATCTATCCGCTCACAGTCCCACATCAGTGTAACTACAACGCGCAAGGAAGCAAGTGGACAAGAGACCTCGGAGCGCGTGGACGTCGGGATGACAGCTACTGCTGGGACCGGTAGCACCACTAGATTCCCTCATGCAGAGCTGAGTCCCGAAGCATCAGAACGCCGGAACATGTACATCATCCCTCCTCCACCTACAGAACAAGACCAGCCACAACAAACAGAACTGAGTAAGGAACGGAAGCGAGAGGAGACAGTGATATTCAGCGGTAAGAAAAGCGTGTATCGCTACGAGTCGCTGGAAGCGGCCAGCACACCTGCATTTGAAAGTCCTACTACAGAGGAAAGCGCATCACACCATATCACAGACACAGGCATTAGTTTAACGCGAGGAACAACTGATACAATTACGAGTCCCGTTCAGAGACCTCCAGACGAGATTTTTATTGACGATCGTGGCGTTCTGTCTGACACTGCTGTTGACATGGGTGCAGAGGAGGCAGAACTCACCGATGCTGGTTTGAGTCCAATCCAAGCAGATGACATAGGAATTGGACTACCTAGCACTGAAGTAATGTTTTTGGAGGAAGAGATTGTATTGACTCATTACTGTGATACGGCAAGTAGTCCCGTTCTGTTTCAGCAAATGGACACTACGTCAGTGGCACTCTCCCCGCTGCAAATTGAGACATCAGAAGTAAGTGTCTCAACAGAGAAGGTAGATACTTGTGAAGCTAGCGTCAGTCCTCTCTGCCCTGAAGGTGAGAGTACACTGAAACAAGAACGGGCTGATGATGAAGTCATCAGAGCGCGGCGGGATTCGGGGGATGTAAGAGCACTAATAAGACTTCTAGAGGAAGGGGCATTGCAGAGGACGCAACATGTCCTTGCCAAGGATACGAAGAAATATAAGGACGATATTACTCATATCCGAACAGTTGAGCCGCAAGAAGGGATAGAACCGCTGGTCATAAAAGAAGACAAGACAGATACGGCTCATGAACGACCAACAGAAACAAACGAATCAAACGAAGAAATAAAACAGGAAGTTAAAACACACAAACCGACATCTGTACCGACAACACCAAAACACATTGGGCCTAAGATAAAGGAACTTCAAAGAATTTTCACACACTCAAGCGAACAGGACTTTGAAGATAACGCAGATAAGAAAATTACATCGCCTAAATATAAAGTAGCATTTGGGGAACCTCAGTTTGATGAAGAAGGTGTACAAATTAACAGTAGAGTTTTGGCAGAAGTTGGAAAAGACGCCTACCCGCACATGTCTCAAGTCATAGAAACCATAGAGAAAAGAATTGCGACGGAAGGACAAGAGAGGCATATGTCACCTAAGTATGTTATCACAGACGTAGAAATAGAGGAGAAAGCAAAGCCATCCCTGGTGGAGGAACGCCTCACACAGTTAGTAAAGGCCGAGGAACAAGTCCTAAAAAAGATTGAAGAAGTCATTACATTTGTTGAAGAATCCTCAAACAGGAAAGAATTCCTTTCGTACTTAGAACAAACAGAAGAAACGGCCGTAGAGGAAATGCAAACAAAAAAACTGAAAAATGTATCTCCATTGCCAGAAGACAATAGCTGTGGGAGAGAAAATATTAAAGCCTGTTCCACAGACTCTCAGATACAAGAAGACAAAGAGAAACAGACAAATCTAGAAGAGCACATTCAAATAGAAAATGAAGAGAAAATGGAACGAGCTGACGAAGAAAATGAGGTACAGGTAGTGAAAAAACTCTCGGCAAACCATGAATCAGAAATCGATGCAGATACTGTAAAACGTACTACAGTTGAAGATCTGACCATTATAGTCGAAGCACGTAAATTTATTGTGGAGAAGGAGGAAGATGTAAAGGAGACTGATGAGAAATTAGTTTCGAGAGAGGAAATCGTACGTGCTAGGGAACCAGAAATTTTCGGTAAACATATCCAGGAACCACAGGTAACCGAGGAATTAAATGGAACACTGGGAAAAGAAAGAGTCGCAGAGGAATTGGATAGAGTAGAGAAGGGGAAAATTGATGAAGTAGCGACTGGAGAAACTAAAGCAGGTAGATTGTCACCAACATTGCCTGAAGGTGAAAGGGAAGGTAATGTAGAGCGATTGGCAGCAGAACCAGCAACGGATACCAAAGAATTTCTGGAATCTCAAACTAAAGATGGCTTAGATATAGAATCACCTACACAGGAAGTTTCCGAGAAATCATATGCGGACAGAGAACTTCCTAGTCCGGTAGACGAGAAGGAACTGGAGGAAAAGGTAGAGACGCATAAAGCAAAAGTAATCGAATCTCCGAAAACAGAAATTGATTCTGAATTTAAATCAGATAAGGAAACACGTGTTGACAAGTCCCCCATGGCTGAAGATCATCCTGAACTGGCAACTAAAGATGAGAAAGAAGTGAAAGCAATGATGGAAGACGGAGTTAAAGGGATTAGTGAATACGGATACGAAACGACCGAACGTGAAGCGGAAAGTGTTCACATTGAGACATTTGATCCATCTTCTGTAACCGAACCTAAGGAAGATGGTTTTGAAATTACGAAAACGGTTGCGATGCAGAAGGAGATTATGGAAAGGAAGGATATTATTGAAATTTCCGTGACGAAGGAAGTAACAGAACCCCCTGAGGGGTATGTTGTAGATGAAATGAGTGTAACATCGCCTGTTGATAAGAAATCTGAAGCAGTTGATTTCGTCGTAAGTGAGGAATCTGGTGATGAAGNTCCGCAAAGCGTGAATCAGAAATCAGTGCAGTTACTGTGAAAGGTCCCCCAGTTGAAGAAGTGCCGATTGTTGTCGAAGCACGTGAATTTACTGTGGAGAAAGAGAGAGACGTAAAA